CCCCCTCGGGGAGAGGCCACGAGTGACTAAGGGGGTGGTACGTGTGCAGGAAGAGCTTACTTGAAGACCTATCCTGTTGGCCACGTGTTCGAGCCATTTTTCGAGGTCAACACTACGTAATAATATAGTCTTTCTTGGTGTGTTTTTCCTTTTTCCTTCTTTTTTTTTTTTTTTATTTTTTTAACGTGATTGACATTGTCTTCTTGGTAAACAGCTTTAAAAATATCGAAGAAAAAGTTTGACGTAGACTTTCATCAATCACTAGCGTAGCATATTCTTAAAGATCATCCCAATGGGCCAACTATTAACTTCTCAATTAATTGAATTTTTTTTAGTTTAGTGATTATTTTTTTTCATCAAAGCTTGTATACATACAAAATTTTAAACAAAAATATGTTGGGACAAGACTCAAATAGGAAACGTCAGAAGATGACGACTATCTTGCTTTAGTTTGACGATAACTTTTACTTTTACATAATAGAGATAATGAAAATGTCAAACTCATGAAGCAAGAAAATGGCAAAACTCAATCAATTAGAATACGATCGATTAACTAGTTAATTCAAATACATAATACTAAGAATTGATCAAAATTAAGATCTTTTCAAAGTTAAGTGAATAATGATAGTTATTTGATTTACAAACTCGTCAACTCAAACTTAAATACCGCAATAATTTAATAGCTTTATGCTCACATCCACACCCACTCCCTACCCCCAAAAATAAACACAATAAAACATGTTTTGATATTATTAATATTTAATTAACTCTAAGTGCAAGCAAGTTTATCTTATCCGATGGCAAGTTGAAGCGTATCATTATCCCTCCATTGTGTGTGTGTGTGTAGATATATGCCAAATTTTCTTGTTTAATTGATAATAAATCTATTTATTTCATGCAAATGAGGATATTTTAATGAAATTAGTTAACTAGCTGTCGAGAAAAGAAAATATTTTGATAAAATGGTAAATTTGTAATTATAATTTTAGAACTTTTTTAAAACTTACCAAACGCATCATCTCAACTATAATTTTTATTATATAAAAAAATTAGCCGACATGTAAGAATACGACAATATTGTTCCTATCTCAATATTGCTATGCTCCCCTTTCCTTCTATGTTTTTAAAGAAAATCTTCTCAAATTTATTTCTATCAATATGTAGTCATTAAAGTGTCTAATTTTATTCATTTGGAAAATTTTTACATCTTCACGTCACTCAGATCCATTAATGGTTTTATTTAAAAATATACCGTTATTAGAGATGAGCTACATTCATTTAAATTATGTTTTTTACACACTCCATTATGCGCATTTTTTATCAAATGTCTAATACATACATAATTTTTATAAAAAGATATAAAGTAGAAACTCTGCTTTTGTTTGATGGCCGTTATTTGGGAAAAAAATATTATTTGAAATAGTGATTTTTAACAGAATGTGTGTTTAAAAAGTAAAGAAAAATTTTGAGTTTACGTATAGAATATTTTATTGTGTGAATGTGTTGTTGAAAATGAGTATATAGAAAAAAGAATTTTCAAGTAATAGTTGTCAAATAGCGGCTTCATATACTTGATAGAACTTATAAGGCTAGCACATAAGTATTTTTGAAATCACAATATTACTCAAATATAACTTTATTTATTTTTAAGCTTAGCTTAGCATACTTACAAGTATCACTTCATATATTAAACTTTTTGTAAGACTAATGTCTTCAACATTGTTATTACCATAGAAAATTCTATTTGTACATAAGAGGGTGGACAACCTCTCACATGCGTGCGGGGTCCGCATTTTTAAAAAATTCAAAAAAAAAAAAGTGAACCCTCTCTTTGTGAGTGTATGTTAACCAATGTGTCAACTATTTGGTTGTACATGACCACGGCGGCCATCCACTATCAAGGGGATTAAAATCGATTAAATTTGTCCGTCATAATAGGTGAGTTATGCTTAACTAATTGTCTAATCTGATGACCTATCATGGGGACTAGTCGTGTAAATTCAAAGTAAAATATAAATGTAAAAGTAAAAGACTCGTGCTATCTTCAAATAATTCTTTTTCTGATCAATTAGAAAGACTGCAAAGGTTGAGCATCTACTCATTGAAAGAGGCTCCATTTGACTATCAAAGATAGTTGGGGGTAGACAAAATAATCAAATCAAATCAAACCAAACCAGAACCAAACCAAATCGAGTGTTTCGATTCGATTCTACCAAAAAAAAAAAAAAGAAAAAAGAAAAAAAAAAAAGGTTCTTGTTCTAGTTCGGTTCTAGTTCAAGAACTAGAATCAAACGAAGAAGCAAACTCAAAATTTAAATTTTATTATCATTATTATTATTGTTGTTGTTACTCAATATGGAGATCGAGACCCTAATTCATTTTGTAGACAAAGACCCTAATCCATTTCTCATTTTCTCTCCTTTTCAATTTATACATCGTCTCTAACATGGAGATCAACAAATATCGCATGCGTCTACCGTCGCGCTTAGCCACCAACGTTGCATGAATTTCTAAAATTGAAGCTTCAACCTTCCATTCTTCATCCTCAAATGTTCTTTATCCTTTTTTCTTAATCAATAATGAAATTAGAACCAAACCAAAACGAACTGAACCGAATGATTAGGTTCCAGTTTGATTCCATATTGTTACAAAACAAGTAAGATACCAAAATCGAAGAGCTTAGAACCAAACCAAAAACAAACTCTCAATCCATTATCAAATTTGATCACTTATCAAACAGGACTTCTAAACCAAAATTATATCGGCTTCCTCTATGAATCGAACTTCCAAATCACATGGATTTCACAAAGATAACAAACTCCACTTTAACACAAATTCCATAACAAGGAATTAAGTCTTCACTCTTCAAGTCATTCTCCAACTCTTCCACCATGTCCCCTCAAGCCGGACACCCCCATGCCCCTGCCAGGCATACTTAACAACTATGAACTAAATTCAAGCCCTGCTTACCAGCAGAACTGTTTTCCTTATCATCCTTACTTGAATCATCATGTTTACTTCCAGCTTCAACTAAGTGAATAAACTTGTTCATATCATCATGAGCAACACCAACTCTACCTGAGTTGCAAAACCTACTGGAATCACCGTGAGCAACATGATCAACAAGATCACAACTAGTTCCACCTAAACTATTAGAAGATTCCCCAATATCATTGTTCGAATCACCACGAACAACCCCGATCACAACCAACTCTACCCCAATTATTGCTTATTGAACCATAAGCAGGAGTTTCGTCTATAGTGACCGTCGAACCTTCTAACACATATAATCGGGACTTTCTCTATCCATTTAACCCAACCCGACTACCTTTACTATATTTCAGAACTCCGCCTCCATCGGTATAATTGTACCCCTTTAAATCAAGAGTACTCAAAGAGATTACATTCCTATTTATACCTTGAACATGTCGAACCTAGCCCAAGTGTTCTTACCGTCCTATCAAATGTCTTAATTTTGACATTATAAATCCAAACTATTTTACAAGGCTTATTATTTCCCATCATCATAGAATCCCTTGTAACTATTCTAGATGAAGAAAATCGATCCCGATTTGAACACATATGAAAGTGCAAATCGAATCAAAAATCCAACCCTCATCTTTTGCAATTTCGTTCAGTAATCGCCAAAATATCTCTATCACTGTCTTCTTCTGCAAGATTGACATTACCAAAATTTTCTAGTTTCTTCTGATCTGTCGTAGGAAACATGTTCTACCACTCATAGCAATCCATTTTCATGTGCTCCCCGTTGTAATACCAGTAGACTTTACCGTTGTTGTTATCCTTGACTCTGCCCCTTTCATGGCCATCTGTCTTCCTCTCATGAACAACAAGACCTTCAACCTGGGCCTTAGCATCGATTTTCTCCTTAAAATAAAGCGCGTGATATACCTCGTCAATATTACAAGTATCCCGACTATAGAAAATGGTATATCTAAAACTCACATATAAAGATGGTAATGAACATAATAATATTAACCATAAATCCTCTTCATCATACTTGATCTCCACAATCTCCAAGTCGACGATGATTTCCTTGAACATGATGGATAATTTTCAATGATCCACCTTCTGTCAAGCGATGAGAATGCAAACGTTATTTCAAATGTAACTTACTTTTCAAACTCTTTGTCATACAAAACTCCTCCAATTTTAATCACAACCCATCACTACTTTTTTCCTTTACCATGCCTTGAAAAATTTGATTAGAAAGACGAAAATGTATTTATGATATAGTTTTCCAATCATTCAGTTGCTTCTCCTCTGCAGTTATTTTGTTAGGCATTCTATCTATCTTCAACAAAACATCATCAAGATCTAATTGAGCAAGAACTGCTCGCATCTTGATCAGCCACAAAGAAATTCTATTGCTGCGATGAAAAGCGAAATCTCAAACTTTATAGTTGTCATCCCTATAACAATAGACATTGTTCAAATCTCGTTTTAATAACCACTTTGGACATTCCAAGAATACGCCAAAAAACCTTTAACTTTGATACCAATTGTTAGAAAACAAGTAAGATACCAGAATCACTTTGATACCATTTGTTGAGAATCCAGCCAAATAATTAAAGACTAAAATAATATGAGCAAATATGAAAAATAATCGATCACACAACAAGCAAGATTTTTGTGGAAGATGAGAATTATTAAACCAAGAAATTAAAATTGACTTTACAAAATTTGATTCTCTCAATTTAAATCTAAACAATTTTATTAAGTTTCTAATATATACAACAATGATCTAATTGTTATCTTAAGTCTCTCTTGAGTGCCTCTTAAGTCTATGAAAAGTCTACATAGTATTTATAGTAGCCAAATTTTGAAGTTATAGATGAAGTAAAATATAAAACCGCATAAGAAACCAAATAGGATTCCAATTCTCGCCGCAGCGCTACTGCCAACGCCTCGGCGCCCGGAGGTCGGGCCTGCAGCGCCAACCATTCTATTCTTCTTCTCGCTGCCAGGTCGTCTCTCTATGTCCCCACGCTCCGACGTCCTCCGTTTTGATCCAATGCGTCCAAAACATATCTTTATCCATTCCAAAGTGCTTATCCCAATCAAACTCTAATTCCATGATAAAATTTGATCTCTTATGAAATAAAACTTCTAAACCAAAATTATCTCGACTTCCTCTATGAATCAAACTTTCAAATCACACAAAATTTAATCACAAACATAACACGTCTTTTAAAAAAATTATTTGGTTCCATTATTAAAAATCATTGGTTTATAGTTCGTTTTGATTCTCTTGGAACCAGAACAAAATGGAACCGTATCCACCCCTACATAGAATTGTTACCTAAGGGCAAATGGGTTGGTTTTCTCAACCTATAGTATTGGTAGTTTTGAGACATATCAGGTCCACAAACTTGGAAGATAGACGTTATTAAATTAAACTATCTTTTATACAACTAAGTTTAAGTCCGTAATAAACTTGAACTAAAAGTAGATACAAGCAGGTCGATTCACGTGTCCATTTTACACTTCTATCCTATCCTAGTGCCATTCGGACAACAAATAGTGTACGGGCAAAGGCGATAGAATGCAATCCAGAAAGAGAGTCACAATGTCTGGAATCAGATTGTTTAGGAAGGCGGATATTGATCAACTTGGCATTATGTATACCTTTTCCTTAATATGGTAAGGTAGAAAATTATTTGGCCCCTCTTCTCTACCTTCCTTATATCTTTCTAAATTATTGGAGAAAAAATAAACTTTATTCCACCTATATAGATTTCGAAAATCAAAATTAGACATAAAAACTAGGGCTCTTAGAAGCGTGGGGTTTGACTAAAAAAATAAAACAGGAAATATTTTTAAAAACTGTTAGCTGTACTCTAAAAGAAAGCTTTATTAATATTTTCTAACTTAAGACCATGCTTAAAACACCATTTTATGAGCTTATTTACACACTCCCAAAAAAGCTTTAAAAGTCGACATTAAGAAGACCAAATATACTATTAGAACTTGTTTGTGAGGGATTTAAGTCCAATTAAAATTGAAAATATACTCGTTATTGGATCTCACTTGTCTAATAAAAGTCAACAATAACGACTAATTTTTCAATTTTGATCTGATTTTAATCTATACCAAACAAGCTATTAATATGGTTCAACTACAATCAAAATTGATAGAGACTTTTATATAATGATAAATGACTCTAAAAGATTCGCTTTGAACATTTCTTCTGCACTTGAAGATACATGAAGCCAAAAATCCTATTGCACTTCTCCAAAATTTTTGACCATTTACCGTCTCCAAAAATTTATTAATCTCCAATGGGTGTTGGCCGACAGTTTGTGTTGGCCTTTGCGATTTCAGTTGACATCAATGGTGAGAGACAGAGGATGGGATGATTTTTTTGTTTGGGGTGATTTTGTGGTAAGGAGTGGGGTGCGTGGAGTGGAGAGTCTGGAGATGGGTAAATAAGATGATGTTTACTTTTCTTTCAAATTTTTTATTCAATTATCCCTTTATTTAATTATTTTAATTGATATTTACTATTTTGCTCCCGTCAAACTTAATTTTTGAGTCAATTGACGAAGAAATGGATGGAAACTGTTCAAAAGGACCTCACCTGCAACGTTTTGAAATGTTAGGATGAGGGCTATAACAAATTAAGGGTTTGGAAAAACTCTGCTAATATTTCAAAGATTTTGGACTTTTGCTGCAATTATCCCTAAATTATATTACATTGATTTTTAAAATTTCAGCCCCCTAACAAATCTTGGATGTGTCTCGGTCTCACACGACTCCTAAATGATAAAACAAGACTTATCCTGTTTCTTTTTTTATTATTTTTCTCCCCGTACGAAATAAGATCGAATACATTCATTTTGTAAAAGATTATTCATTCTTTAACTTTTCAAGGATTAATCCTTAATTAGTGATTGTGGATGATTGATTTTTGCTTTAATCATTTCGAACTTGGTTCCATAGGAGCAATTCTCTTCAAGATCGAACGGCAATGCAAAGGTTACGTAGATGGGTCTTTGGGATAATATACATGAACAATACTCCCTACAGAAATATAGGAAGATATCTCCTAGTACGAGAAAAAATGATTTGTCCAAGTTTCGTCTATGCATAAAATTCTAATGAATGACAAATGTGCCTAGAAAATCAATTTGTTTGTTGTGGTCGGACTGTACTGTGAATTTCTAAACACATTCTCCATATTGCTTTCTTATCTCTTTCTTCTCCAAGTTCAGTATATGGAAGAAGGAACTGAAAAAAGATATCAACGGCAACTGAAAAAATAAAGATCTTTTAGAGAGAGAGAGAGACCATCAAGAGGGCAGAATATTTATTCATAAAAACTGGTAAAACAGAATATAATGGAGTCATACAACCTAACCTAAGAAAAGATAAAGAAAAAATTGATTGATCAGCACATTTGGAAGCTAACAGAAAACTAGTTAAGATAATTTTTCGAGTTAGAGAGACGACAGAAAATTAAGTTGCCATATGTATTATTTGTGATGACATGGCAAGAAATTGTTGGTCCCATTGTCCCAATTGCCTTTTACTGGATTTAGAATAGGAATGCATCTAGGGTTAAAACAGAGAAGCATCAATTATCAAACTGTACCATATTCTCTAAGTATGAGTTGTAAACCTTAAACCCAATTGGATGGGTGGGTGACACATCAGAAAGAGCCTGAGTGGGACCCATTTATTGGGCCTGTACCCTAAAATGAGCTGAAAATGAGAAGTCTGTGTGATGGGTTGAAACCGTCCAAATTTGGTTAAATGGAACATTAAGGATAGAAAAAGCATTCTAGGCTGTGATAAAATCATCACTCTTTAGTCATGAACAACTGTAAAGAACAAACGAGAGGATTTCACCCTACACCCATCCCCCACCCCACCCCACTCCACCCTACCCCACCCCCAAATTGGCTTAATTCATTGTCCCACCTCCTCTATATAAACGGATTAAACAAGCATTGTTATCATCTTGTAGTTCGTAAGAGAGAAGATTCAGTTTCCTGATATTTACAAAAATGAGTCACTTAGCTTTTGCATTCGGCCTCTTAGGTATATAATTCAGTGTTATATATGTGTATTATATTTTAATTCGCCTCCTACACTGTCGAGTTTTTAGCTGTCGGAACTCTTCTCAAATGTCATAACTGCATGGTTTTACACTATAGTACTTATACGTAATGCCATGCAATGCGGAAGCATGACTGTTAAGGGCATGTTTCTACATGCAATATTAAATAACACTGAAAAGTATACTTGGAAAATTTCTTTCTTGAAATTGTTTAATACTGTGCCGTTGACCTTATGAAACGTACTATAACTAATATTTGAACAATTTTTTCAGGAAATGTTGTTTCATTCATGGTTTACCTCGCACCAGTGTGAGTCTACTGTTTTTCCGTTTCATAACATTTTGAAATTAATTAATCCCTTGCTAGGTTTCTTTATCTCTTAAGTTATATGGCGGCAACTAATTACTTTTTTTTTTTTTTTTTGCAGGCCAACATTTTATCAAATTTACAAGAAAAAATCAACTGAAGGGTTTCAATCCCTTCCTTATGTGGTTGGCTTGTTCAGTGCGGTTCTTTGGATATACTATGCATTTCTCAAGCCAAATCCAACTCTTCTTATTACAATAAACTCAGTTGGTTTTTTCATTCAAACCATATATATTTGTTTCTACCTCTTTTATGCGACGAAAAATGCTCGGGTACTAATTAAAATAAGTAAATTTCAACTTACAGTTAATTATTTTTCTCATAATTGAGATAACTAGTTTATATCTTAATTATAACAGATGCAAACTATGAAGCTGGTTCTTCTGCTAAATGTCATTGGCTTTGGACTGATTGTTCTGTTAACTCATTTTCTAACAAACGGCACACAGCGTGCCCAAATTGTTGGATGGATTTGCCTCATCTTTGCTCTATTAGTATTTGTTGCACCTTTGGGCATTTTGGTAACTAAGCACTTGGTTATAAATATTTCTTTTCTATTTTATGTTATTATTTGATTAATTGTATTATATTAACATCATTTTTTTGGATTTTTGACGCGCAGAGAAAAGTTATTCGAACCAAAAGTGTCGAATACATGCCATTTCTTCTATCATTCTTCCTCACTTTAAGCGCTGTTATGTGGTTCTTTTATGGCTTACTGAGCAAGGACTATAACATTGCTGTAAGTATATATACTTTGAAATACCTCGTCTCAACACATTATGCTAATTTATGCCATACACCAAAAACATTACAATTCCAATTGATTTTTAATATGTTATTTTTTGTGTTTGTGAACAGATTCCAAATGTACTGGGGTTCAGCTTCGGTGTAGTTCAAATGGTGCTCTATGTAATATACAAAAATGCGGAGAAAAAAGTCGTCGAGGAAAAGCTTCCCGAAGTAAAAAAAGAAATCACTGCATTGGAAGATCTCAAGCAACTTGAATTAAATGATCAGATTATTGATGTTGTGAAGCTTAGTGCAATGGTGTGCTCAGAAATAATCTCTGAGGTTCCTCAGCTCAAAAAAAATATTGTCTTGAATACGGAGGAAAACGATATAATCACCATGAAGAGCTAGAAAATTGTGGAAGCCTCTCATTAACTGAAGACTTCGAGATCTTATCTTATCATCGTCAATCCAATTATTAATAATTAAGTCCTTAATTTGTCAAATTTAATTTCTGTTGTAACAATTTTATATATTTTCTGCGAAGAAGTTTAACGTGGTATTAATCTAGTAATCAAGTTATTCAATAAACAGTATTTCACTATTGTTGACCCATGAAAATGATGAAAATGAGCCGACAGATGTCGGACCTACTCACGCCAAGTCAAGTATGATTCCGACGCGTTCCTACTGGAATGATAACGGTAGCACGGAGAGGATGGACGCGTGGGATACTTTGCGACGAGAGACAAAAATGTTCGAACTCCGACGGACGGAACAAAAGATGATCACGCCAACAACTATCACCAATCGAAAATCAAAGTAACTAACCAAGGATCAAGCTAGTAATTGTAGAACAAGCAAATAAGAAGTGCTAAGAAATTAAGAAAAGACAAAAGGGAGCATTTTTTATATTCAGTTGCCCCTCCCATAAGTGTTACAAGAGTTGGTATTTATTTGGCTCTAGCCGAAGTGATGACCGTTGGATGAAGGAGCAAGTGGCTTCATCCCCCAAGTCACAGCATCACATCACTAGCCTGCCACACATTTAATATATTGACAGTGGGTCAACTACCCTACAACCTAGGCTGGCAGACTTGACACATTCATTATTGCAAATGTCACGTCAGTCATTCTTAAAGATTGTCTGCAAATCTTATAAGAGATAGCGACAACTTTATCCAAAAGGAGCTTCAATCAAAGTAGAACCTCGTCCTTGAGGAGCTTCGGGTTGAGGCACCTCTTCGTTACCTCGGTATGCAACTCTACAAGCACTTCGGCTAGACCTCTTGGGAGCCTCGGTTTGGGCTTCTACTTGGCTGCCACTTAGGAGCATGTTGACCTTGGTCAAACTTTAACATCTTCCTTGACTCCTTCCACTATTAAATGCGTAGCAAGATAGTAATGTGATGCTGTAACGTGGAGGATGAAGCCACGTGTTCCTTCATTCAACGATCACCACTTCGACTAGAGCCCTATAAATACCAACTCTTGTAACACTTTTGGAAGGGGCAACTTAATATTAAAAAAATGCTCCCTTTTGTCTTCTCTTAATTTTTTAGTACTCTTATTTGCTTGTTCTACAATTACTAGTTTGATCCTTGGTTAGTTACTTTGATTTTCGATCAGTGATCGTTGTTAGCGTGATCATCTTTTGTTCCGTCCGTCGGAACTCAAACATCTTTGTCTCTCGTCTCAAAGTACCCCCGCGTCCATCATCTCCGTGCTACCGTCATCATTCTGGTAGGAACGTGTCGGAATCGTATTTAACTTGGCGTGAGTGAACCCGACATCTGTTGACTCATTTTCAGGGGTCAACAACTATCTCTCCCTCTATATGTATATAAGCATGGATGCATATTTATGCAAATTGCAAGGTGGTGAACCAGAAAAAGAGAAATCCCATTTTCTTGTATGTGATTCTATATCAAGGGTAGAAAGCAATTTCTGGATAGTATCAATCCACAATTTTGTCTCATGTGACTTGTAAACATTCTTATTTTTCTTAGAATTAAAGATAATTTCTAAAGCATGTTCATCTCTCATACGAAAATCAGCATAAATACATAAAACCAACTCAATAATCGAGTTCCATTCTCAAAAAATAAAAATAAATAAATAATTAGGTTCCCATATCTTGGGAAAAGGATATATAGCAAAATATACATATTTAGCTAAAAACATTTTTGCATATCGCTAGAAAATTATTAATTACAGTTAATCACGGTCTACTCATCAAAACTCATCGTAAATCCTAGCAAGATGGAACTTGCAGAAAATTTTAAAGGAGGGAGATGCAACTTGAAAGCACTAAGCACGCTTTTCCTAATTGTGATCAACTTTTTGAAAGGATAAAACTGCCAACATTGGCCTGTGTTGGGATTTTCATATGGATAAGACCGTAAATTATTTTAGTTTCATTATATACGAAAAATGATATGCTAAACATCGATGCTTAATTTATACTAAGTGCCGGTGACATGATACATTAATTAGGGGGATTTTCCAAAATAGCCGGGTCAAGATGGAACTTGCAGAAAATTTTAAAGGAGGGAGATGCAACTTGAAAGCACCAAGCACGCTTTTCCTAATTGTGTTCAACTTTTTGAAAGGATAAAACTGCCAACATTGGCTTGTGTTGGGATTTTTATATGGATAAGACCTTAAATTATTTTAGTTTCATTATATACGAAAAATGATATGCTAAACATCGATGCTTAATTTATACTAAGTGTCGGTGACATGACACATTAATTAAATGGTGAATCATTTAATTTCTTGGACCTACAATTAACTTATTCTCCAATTATTAGTTAATATGTTATGTCACCAGTACTTAGAATAAGATAAGCATCATTGCTTAGTTATTGTGTAATTTATTACATTAATATAGTGTTACATAGTAATGAGTACATAGCACAAATCATAAAATAACAATCTTTAGTTAATAAATGGTGTTGGACTATGTTGAGCCTAGTTATGCATTACATTTATCTCTTTGATAATGATACACTTACTAGCTCACTCTAAATTTTTAAAGGACTCTATTCAAGAAGTGAGAAAAAATCGTGTACGTCTATATCATAATAAAAATCAATCACGCATACGTGCTTACCTCTCGCATATATTGAGGACGACCACCTATTTTATGGGTCTCACAATTTTTTAACCACGTAATTCATCAACTTCTATCAAAATCTATTAAAAATCTAAATTTAATCTTCACCAAACAGGAGCTAAGTTCTAGCTTAATCAAATTTCCAGTTAACATAAATAAATTAATCAAGAACTAAGACAGATTAATTTGAAGAATCAACATTATTAATCATTACTATGTAGGCCATAATCAACCAGTTTTTTTGGATTCGCCAAAAAGGATCAAACTCCACTAACTCTTACACGAATGAGAAGATTGTGCATATACGGGTCGCAAAAGAAGCACATAAAATGGTTACTTCAATTTCATGGATTCTCGAAATTCTTTACATAAATTGACTGAGCAGTTCGGGGAATAGATCTTGATGACATTCTAGTGGTTTGATACATTTTTGGTTATTCTGGCAGAACTTTTGTAGGCCAATATCAAAACCAGGACAATTATTCGGATAGATTGAGATTCTATGTTGTAGTGTTTAATGACTAGAAAGCAAAAATAATTCAACTTCAATACAGGGTGTAGAGGCACTTGCATTGGGCAAATATCTTCTCCTAATCAAGATTTTTAGCATTAGTAGTAGATGTAAATTGTGGTACTTATCGGTTTGTGTCCCTCCGAGAGTAAAGTGGTCCAGAAGCTTGCTTCTTGCATTTTGTTTGTCATGGTTAACGTTAACACAGTTTATTGTATTCATTTCTTTATTTTCCACGAAGTTCGTGGTGATTTGAGGTAATAAAACTTGTGTTTGATGATATAAAAAGGGGCATGTCAACTAAAGCTTAAAAATAAGTAAAGTTGCTTTTAAGTAATTGTCAATTTTTAACATATTTGGATATGTTACCATGTTCTACTTTTAACTTAAAACAATTCCTTAATTTTGATTGTAACAATATAATTAATGTCAAAAGAAGTAACTTATTCTCAGTTTTGATGAATACATCAAAATTTATTAATCCTAGAACTTATTTACTTAATTTAACTTTAAGCTTAGCCAAACATGCTACTTAAGTAGCATATTGAAAGAATCAGAGTTAGTTTAATTTTACTCGATATAGCTATGGTTTAAATATTTATTCCACAATTAATCAGGAAATTGCAAGATCTTTTTACATAAATATACGTGACCCAAATTCATGTACTTGCATTTGCATCAACAAATGCCTACAAAACATTCTCGCTTCAACGGTCCTTAAACTTCTAACAAATTATATATTAGACCCTAAGCCTTTATGTTTTGTTCTACACCGAAGAGTTTACAAAATATTGTTACATGAAACATTTGGTATGCAATATTCGACATAATTGTATAGAATGAACAAACTTTTAGTTAGTTTTCCTTATCAAATTCTCTTGAATAGTACTATTGAATCTACTTTATCAAACATGTTAATTAATATATAGCCACTATTACAAATCATCTTTAAAAAATTCTTATCACCCCATAATGATCAAGATTCTACCTCCAAATCAATCAAGATCGCAGTATTTCATTGTGCAGCTAAATGAAAATGATCAAGCGTATAATGAGCAGTTAATTTTTCTTTTGAAAACTCTTCATCATGATCGAATCCACTTTGTCAAGTATGCCATTAATAAAAAGTCGCGTTTACAAGTCATAATGAAGCCCATGTTTGGTAGGAATTCAAATCTAGATTTTAATTTAAACCAAAGGTAATAATTAATTTTAACCACATATTTCATGAGACTTCCAACTTTTTAATCACGCATTTAATTGATTCTTATCGAAATCAGGGTTTAAGTTTGAAGAATTCATAAATCGGGGTTTAAGTTTGAAGAATTCAAAATTCAGGTTTGAAGTTTAAAAAATACAAAAATCAGGTATTTAGAAATTAATTTAAAATATTTATTATTTAAATATAATAAATTCACAATTCTACAATTAATGGTCACGTGTACATAATTATAGATCACATATTATCAAATTAATTGATCATAGATTGTTTCGAGGTCACAAATCAAAAAATTTATAGGTTACGATTTACTTCATTGGCCACGAATCAAAAAAATTATAGGTCGCAATTTATATATCGGTCACATATTTTCAAATTTCTTGGTCCATTGTTTTTTATCACAAATTAACGAATTTTAAGGTCACGGTTTAATAATTATTAGTCACACTGAATCAAATAGTTGGTCACATACACCAAACACCCCACCCCACCCCGATCCACCGCCGATACTTGGTCACAGATCAACCAAACAGTTGGTCACAAACACTACCCCCACCATCGTCGCCACAACCACTGCCCACAATCACCGCCACCACAACCACCGCCAGAACCACAACCACCATCTTTTAACAGAAAAACCATCATCTCAAACACGACCACCACCAGCCTATCACTTCACAACCACAATCCTCACCTAAATAAATCCCCAAATCTGCGCTGAGCACTACCACCATCGCCATCATTGCCTCATCAACCAAACCACCACCTCACTACCACTAGATCCCCCCGTCAATCCAACGAAACAGATCGCCGCACACTGCTATAGCTGTTTCTATTTTATCTAACTCAGTTGATGCACCTCAGAGCTGCTATAAAAATTTCAGATCGCCGACAATCTGTGACAGACTCAGCTTAGAAAGTACAGATAGTCGTAGGGCACTGCGCAGCAGCTGCACCTCTGCTTGCAGAGGCTCCGACGCTTCCCTAGAACAGATCATAGCAGCTGCACCTCCGCAAGGCGTGGCACCACCATCTCCTGCACGACCGTCGCCTTCGCGACCGCCACCATCTGCAAACCAGCAACCCAAAGTCAACTCAACCATCACCTGCACGACCACCACCTTTGCGACCGCCACCATCGCCTGCACGCCGCCACCACCTTGGGGAATCTCGATTTAGGGTTCGAATAAAATTGGGGAGAGGATAGAGAGAGGGAGACAAGAGAGGGGGAAGAATAGTGTTAAAATGAATTAGGGTTTTAATTGGGTGGAAAATTTAATTTACTAATATTATTATATGTATTAATTATTTTACCTGATTTTTGAATAAGTAAACTTTAAACCTTATTTTTGAAAATTAATTTTTAAACACCTGAATTTATGTAATTTTCACTATATATTTACCGCAAACTATCGGCCCATTCGCCGCAA